TCCGGCAGCTGGAGCCGGCTGGCCGCCCGTTTGGAAATGCCCGTTGCCACCCGTTGCACGTGGGAAGCGCGGTGATTGGCACATTAGCGGCTGACCTCCAGCAATCCCCTGGCAGACTCCTGAGTGCTCATGCCGGGAACTGCTCAGTGCTTCGCAAGCATTTTGAAGCAACAAGTCTAGCTGTCCTGGCTCATACGCTAGACAGGAGCTGCGGGAGCCCCGTGCACTCAGTAAGGAACCCTGCAGCCGGGCGGGTGCTGTCATTGCTTTCTCCCCTCCTAGGGCGGTGTATCTGGTGAGGCACCGGGAGACCAGGCAGCGCTTTGCTATAAAGAAAATTAACAAGCAAAACCTCATTCTGCGGAACCAGATCCAGCAGGTGTTCGTGGAGAGAGACATCCTCACCTTCGCCGAGAACCCCTTCGTGGTCAGCATGTTCTGCTCCTTTGAAACCAGAAGGCACCTGTGCATGGTGATGGAGTACGTGGAAGGTGAGAGCCAGGCGGGTCACCTAAGGGCTGAGCGGCAGCTTTACAGCGTGCTGGTTAAAAGCAGATTTACAATCACTCCGGTGCCCAGCATTCCCCATATACTGTGTGCTTGGGACAGATTCAAATGCCACCCCGTTGATTAGCAGAGCGCCCCCAGCCGGCAGCGTAGTTTTCTGTTGGTGGTGCGCCTCTGCACGAGCCTTGGTGCACAGAACAAAATGTATTTCACTTGTGGATGGAAAAAGTTGGAGGGAGCAGGAAAGCTGTCGCAGGGCAGGAAATCAAAGTTCCCCAAAGTGAAGGCTGCAGAGAATCCCAGGAGCTCTCCCAGGCCTCTTGGTGCCGGATGTGGGACGGCGTGCTGCCCTCAGCCCCCCACGCCTGGCCTGTTCCTGAAATAATGGAAAATCCTCCTTTCTCTGCAAAGCAGAGACTCAAAAGCCATCCACTGCCCGTTGCGCGAGGAGCTTGGTCTGTGCGCACAGCCGGAAGACAGGTGCTCCTTAGTGCTGCCCTGTCTCTGCCTCGGGTCTCCCGTCCTGTAAAATAAGGTGGTTCATGGCTCCTGCCTGCAAGCGTGGTGACGGTCACTGGCTTTGCTTTGGAAGACAGCGAATTAAAAATGCCGCCCTGCTTTATTCTAGCCACCTTTCGGAAGCAGTTCTGTGGTGGGGGATTTAATCTAGGGTGTGTCCCAAACACATCACAACCAGGCATTTGCCAGTCTTTGAGCTGCTGCGGTGCCCTCCTTCCCCCCCATGCTACGGTGGCCTCTAGTGCTCAGCTCGTACCAGTGCAGCACCCCAAAATCGGGGTGCCAAGCGATGCCTGGAGCAGAGCAGCAGGGGCTGGCAGACAGGTGGCCACGCAGGGCCAGGAAGGAAGGCTTTTCTGCCCGGCGTAATTGGCCAGATAGCCTTTCCCCCCTTAATAGCATCAGCTTGTGGGCACTCAGGGGCAGTACCCAGGGTTGGCTGGTCAGGGCTCTGGTTTGGTGTAGGGAGTCCTGCGGTCTGGTGGAGAAAAGGCTGCTTGAAACCCTGCCAGCTGCCTGCTGCACCGTTGGTTGCGGTTCATGGCGCGTTTGCATTTCTGTAGGTGGGGACTGTGCCACGTTACTGAAGAACATGGGCCCCTTGCCGGTTGACATGGCCCGGATGTACTTTGCAGAGACTGTGCTGGCTCTGGAATATCTCCACAACTACGGGATTGTGCACCGGGACCTGAAGCCTGACAAGTAAGGGCAGGAAGGGGGTGGTCAGAGGGTTGTAGGAGCCTGGGCAAGAGGCTGTTCGGTTCTAAAGTGGGGAGGGAAAAGGAGGATTCCCCATGCGGGGGATGAGATGACTCAGCCTGCAGCAACTCCCAGGTCAAGACCATGGCATGAGCTGAGAACAGCTGGCCTCTTCAGTGTCATTCTCCGTGCGGGGTCTTGAGTCAACCGAGTAACATTGTTGCCAAAAAAGCAAACGTCATTCTGGGAGGCATTTGCAGGACGCGAGCAAGACGCGAGAAGTTGTTCGTCTGCTTGACTCCATGTTGATTTAGGCCTCAACTAAAGTTCCGTGTCCAGTTCTGGGCCTCACGTTTCAGGAAAGATGGGAACAAATTGGGGAGGGTCCAGAGAAGAGCAACAAAAATGATGAAGGGTCTAGAAAACATGACCTGTGAGGGGAGACTGAAAGAACTGGGCTTGTTTAGTCTGGAAAAGAGAAGACTGAGAGGGGACATATCAGCTTTCAAGTATCTAAAGGTTATTACAAGGAGAACAATCAAAAATTATTCTCCTTCTCCTCTGAGGATAGGACAAGAAGCAATGGGCTTAAATTGCTGCAAGGGAGGTTTAGGTTGGACATTAGGAAAAACTTCCTACCTGTCAGGGTGGTTAAACGCTGGAATAAATTGCCTAGGGGGGTTGTGGAATCTCCATTGGTGAAGGTATTTAAGAGCAGGTTAGACAAATACTTGACAGGGAATGTCTAGATGGTGCTTGGTCCTGCCACGAGGGCAGGGGACTGGACTCGATGGCCCCTCAAGGTCCTTTCCAGTTCTATGATTCTGCTCAGGGGTGAGGCAGCGAGATTGTGTGTCCGTCTTCTCTCCTGCAGCTTGTTAATCACTTCCATGGGCCACATCAAGCTGACAGACTTTGGCCTGTCCAAGATTGGGCTGATGAACATGACCACGAACTTGTATGAGGGGCATATCGAGAAGGACACTCGGGAGTTCATGGACAAGCAGGTATGTCCAGAATCTCAGTCGGCTCAGATCTCGTGGGGCCCTTGGTTCAAACCATCTCTCTTGGTCCCGGGGGGAGGGTGGGAATGCTGTATCCATATCTCCCCATCTCAGGGAGCCAGCATGGCTCTGCCCATGCTGCAGCAGTCCCTGGGGTGCAGCGGGTCCAGCATTGCGAACATCTCTTGGAATGCAGGTGTGCGGCACGCCCGAGTACATCGCGCCCGAGGTGATCTTAATCCAAGGCTACGGGAAGCCCGTTGATTGGTGGGCCATGGGCATCATCCTGTACGAGTTCCTCGTGGGCTGCGTCCCCTTCTTCGGAGACACCCCAGAAGAGCTCTTTGGACAGGTGATTAGCGGTAGGTCTCTAGAAGTGGCCACCTTGAGTCCACCCTCTTGTCTTGCTTCCGGGAGCTTTCTGGGTCTGGGTGTTCCTGGCCCTTCTTTGGCTTGGCAGCACCAGGTTGGCCATTGGGATCCCCAGTTGAGCCCTGTTTCCCGGTCTGTTTTGGCCCCAGATCACAGCTGCACTGAATGTTCATCGGCATGAAATTTGGCCCTTGTGGAGCCTCTTCCATCCACGGTCCTCGAAGGGCTTGACAGATGCTCACGGATGAACACTTGCCTGCAGAAGCAGCAGTGCAGGGGGGCAGGTGGGAGCCGATTTTCACAGGGAGCTGGTTTTTAAGTCAGGTCCCCACAAGCAACGGTTCCCAAGGAGCCACCTGTCTCTCCCCCCCACCACGCATTGCTGCTTCTGTATCAGAGGCGGCTGGGTGGGGGGAGGGCGGGAGCCAATGCTCATGGCTCCCCCTCGTGTACTAGCTCCTTAGCGTGTGGCTGGCTGGCAGGTGGCAAGCACTGGGCCAGGCCTTTAGTCTTTTGGACTCATTCGCTGGCCCCAAGGAGGTTGGGAGCCACTAAAGTAACAGATTCCTTTTGACTCCAGGCAAAGGAGGAAGGACAGCGTGTTCCCTCCTCGGGCCAGGATGAGGAAAAGCAATCTGTTAGGAAGCTGGCTCAGGAGAATGCATAGCCCAACCGCAACCAGCCCTGCGATGCTATTCCTTAGCCTGCCGTGCCCTCCAACGAGGGCTGGGCCACAGGGATGTTTCATCACGTGGTTTAGACATGAGTGTTGTAGTGTAGGGGAGCCAAGTCTGGCCGGGTCTGTGCTCCCTTCCCAGGCTTTGGGGGAAGCGTTGGTTGCAGGGCTGTCATTGTACAGCCGGCCTTTCACTGGTCTCTTTTGATGGCTGCTTCGCTTTTCCTTTCATAGTAACTCTTCTGATTAGGTTGTGGGGTGTCACCACATACCACAGCGCCTTATGATGAGTGAGTCACTGAGAGAGCTGTGCTGTCGCTTTAAAGTCATTGAGTGTGACCACGGAAGTGCTGGCTTTCCCAGAGCTAGGGGACTAGTACATGCAAAAATAACTTCCCTAGCAAAGGTACTTTGCCTTAGGTCCCCAAGTCCTAATGACCTTCAACTCATGCCTCACTCCGACCCAAGTAGGACGCCCCCTGCAGCCAGGAGGGCAGAGGCCTGGGGTCTGAGGGGGCCTCCTGCCCCCTCCTAGTCTGGCCAGCCTTGGGGTGTCGCACTGCAGTAGCTATGGGGGTTCCCGTGGAATGGTGAGTTAGGCTATATCTACACTGAACGCTTATTTCGAAAGACCTCGTGCTATTTTGAAATAACAGAGTACAGGTCTACACAGCAAGCCCGTGATTCCGAATAATTTTGAAATTACGGGCTGCTTACTCCGACTTCTGTAACCCTGCTTCCATGCGGAGTAAGGGAAGTCGAAGAGAGAGCGCTCTTCCTGCTGTGTAGACAGCGCCAAAAGCCGAGTTGAAGTTGTGTATCTTAATTCGACCTTACCCTGCAGTGTAGACGTACCCTTCGTTACAAGTTTTCGGATGGTGTGTCTATCGGGGATGGTCTAGACGGTGCTTGGTCCTGCAGTGAGGGCAGAGGACTGGACTCAATGACCTCTCGAGGTCCCTTCCAGTTCTAGTGTTCTAAGGTTCTAGACTCCTATCCGCTTTCTGCCCTGGCTGTTGGGATGCAAACAGCCTTTTGCTCTCAAGGGAGGAGGCCACCTTGTGATTTCCCATGTCATTTCAGATGAAATAATGTGGCCGGAAGGTGATGAAGCTCTTCCTGCCGATGCTCAGGATTTGATCACGAGGTTGCTGAGGCACTGCCCGCTGGAACGCTTAGGCACCGGTATGTGCGTACTGTCCCCTACTTGGCCGCTTACATCCCCTAGGCATGCTCAGCTGGGAGAAGGCTGGAGGGGCCCTGTCTGATCAGCATTTGCTGGTTCAATAGATGGCTTCCCTAAGCAATTCAACGTATGTCCGGAATGTTTATAAGAGCTCATCTGTAGCATCTGGCTCACGTGGTGCTGCCCATCTCACCCTTGAGCATAGCTTTTCTATTAACCGTATTCTGCTATGGGGGTAGCAACACCCCCTCCTCTCGTGGGCTGTGTCTACACTGGCCACTTATTCCGGAAAATCAGCCGCTTTTCCGGAATAACTTGCCAGCTGTCTACACTGGCCCCTTGAATTTCCGGAAAAGCACTGACGATCTACTGTAAAATCATCAGTGCTTTTCCGGAAAAACTATGCTGCTCCCGTTCAGGCAAAAGTCCTTTTCCGGAAAACTGTTCCGGAAAAGGGCCAGTGTAGACAGCACAGATTTCTTTTCCGCAAAAAAGCCCCGATCGCGAAAATGACCATCGGAGCTTTTTTGCGGAAAAGCGCGTCTACATTGGCACGGACGCTTTTCCAGAAAAAGTGCTTTTCCGGAAAAGCATCCTGCCAATGTAGACGCGCTTTTTCCGGAAATACTTATAACGGAAAACTGTTCCGTTTTAAGCATTTCTGGAAAAGGGTGCCAGTGTAGACGTAGCCCAGGTGTGCACTCCCCTGAGGAATCTAGGCAGTGCTGGAGGGGATTAAAGCATGGTCCTGCTGCCTCATGCCCACCTGCAGTTGGAAACCTGTAGCAGCTGTCAGTAATTTATGGCATCGGCTCCTGGTGTCTTCACATATTGCAGCGTTAGGGTCTCTGTCTCAGAGTCCTGCTTCTTCCTGGTTCCCGCCTTGCTTGCAGCCTCTGTTATATACACAGCCCAGGGCATAGCTACGGTTCTGTGCCACTGCATTTCCCAGCCTTCGTATCCTGCTCCGGCCACCGCTCACTGCCCTCAGCCTGGCTCATGAGAGAGCTCCAACCCTAACATGGGCAGCAGGCCAGATCCCGCCTCCGTTCCTGCCCCAGAGCTCTGTCAGTCTCAAGGAATTGCTCTGGATTTCTCTGGAGGAGCAGCCAAGAGCAGAGTCTGTCCCGTTGTTGGATGTGCCAGGGAGGCCTTGCCGGTTGGGATTGGTTTGGGAACCTGAATCCCGACGAGTTCCGTTCTAGCCAAGCCATGTGCACTGGGGGGTCAGATAAAAATACAACGGTTTATGTGTTCCTGTGCTGGACACCAGGTGGTGCCCATGAGGTGAAGCAGCACTCCTTCTTCTACAACCTGGACTGGAACGGGCTGCTGCGGCAGAAGGCTGAATTCATTCCACAGCTGGAAGCCGAGGACGACACCAGTTACTTTGACAGTAAGGCCAGTTCTTGCTCCTTTCTCCTCTTTGGCTCCGTCGTCCCAGCAGTGAGGCTGGGTTGAATTCTCCGGAACAAAGAAACCCTCTCCGGGATGCGATGGGCCAGCCCCTGACTGACTTAGCTGTAGAAATGAATGAGGCTGTGTGGAGTCACATTCTCCTGGTCGTTCCTCAGGTGGTAGGGCCTCCTGGTGCACCAGCTCCTTAGGTTTGCTCTTGTTTTGCACAGCCGTCGGGGATGGGGGCTGCCTGCCAGGCACGGCGGGAGGGACTTGCAGATCAGGCTGAGTGCAGAGGGCTGCATTTGTGGGATTTTGCACTGTTACTGCTGCTGCTGCTAAGACTGAAAACAAACCCCAAGGTGATGGTTCCTCTGGCGCCAACGAGTAGGAGAGAGGCTTTCTGGCAGCATGTTGTTTTGCTCCCCTCAGCTGCTTTGGGAAGTGGAAAAGGAACATCTGTGCGTTCCTGCTGGGAACATCCAGCCCTCAGAGATGTGTGTAGAGGAAAATGTATCCTGCCCTGCCTGCCAGATAGCATTGCTCCTCAGGCACCCACATCGCTGGCAAAAACATGGTGCATCCGGGTGAAAGCCGGAGTTAAATAACCGTGCTGAGCGCACAGTAGCCTGAGACTCACTGGGGGTCGTAAAATGCATCGTCGTGATCTAAGTAGAGATTGGATGTATTTAAAGCATGTTCTGGTTTCGTGCTGAGGGAGCATGGGACTTGCCGAACCAGGTCGGACCCATGGCCCAGCTAGTCCAGGATTCTGTCTAACATTGGTCAGTGCCAGGCACTTCACAGGAAGCTGCAAGAAACCGCATCCCTCTTCTCGAGAGACTGGCATAAGCCCTGTGAGCGTTAATGGATGTGAGCTTTCCCTTCCCTTCCCAAATGTTCGAGCATAAGCCAAAGAAAATAACTTTCACTTCTGTCCCAGGGCTGGCCTGGGATTTGAACGTTGGCACAGTAAGCCAGAGGCCTACCCCCGTCCCACTTGGGCAGCGGGGCCCCTCTGCTCTGGTGCCCCCGTGATGGTATCCCTGCGTCAGCCTCTGTTGTTTTCCGTAAATGGTGGGTGTGGCCAAGTGGCTGGCCTTGCAGCCTCCTGGAGGAGAGACCCACCCTGCGGCATTGTCGCTTCTTGCTTTCAGCTCGCTCCGAAAGGTACCGCCACCTGGGCTCCGAGGATGAGGAAACGAATGATGAGGAATCCTCCGTGGAAATTGGCCAGTTCTCCTCCTGCTCTCACCGCTTCAGCAAGGTACTGGGAGGCTCCCGGTAGACGTGGGGCTTTTAAAGAGACCCTTCTCCCCTCCCCTGGGGCCAAAGCCCCCAGCTGTCACTGTGCCAGGGCACAGGTTTTACTAGTGACCCAGGCGGGGCCTTCTGAGCTCTTGGGCAAGGGACGGACCAAAGAGGCGGCTGGCCAGCATCAGGAGCACCATTGACAGTTCTGCAGGGAATGCTCCAGCAAGGGCTGTTGGTGATCCAGATGGAGTGCTCTTCTGTCTGGTGAGCGCTGACCCAGCCCGGTGCTAAGGAGGCACGTTTCTCGAGGTGCTGCCTTTCATGTGGACTCAAGCCTGGCTCCGGACTTATCTGAGACAAGGCTCCCATGGCGCCATGCCCCAGGCTAGGTGAATTAACCCTGGAGCGTTCACCATGGTGCCAGGGCTGATAGATCCAGGGCAGTTCTAGGGAGCAATTACTCTGCTCTCTATCCTGAATTGTTGTGTGGCGAGATGTTGACCTCGGGGGCAGGGGGGCTGCATTTCATTGGTGAGCAGGGGATTCCTGTCGACATGGGATCAGATTCTCTGCTTCGGTAATTCAAGTGACTTCAGAGCTGTGCCCGTGGAGGCTGGATAGTAGCGTGGAAGGTGTCGTGGGGTGCTGGCTGAACCGTACCCTCTGCTGGCCTCTCACGTGTGGCCTCTGCTGCAGGTTTATAGCAGCTCTGAGTACCTGGCAGCTCACTCCAACCTGAGCTTGTCGTCGTCCGAGCGGAGCCAGAGCGAGGACAAAGAGGAGAGGACGGAGCGGTCGGACAGGAGCTCCGGGGACGAAGAGAAGAGCCGGCTCTTGGGCACAGAGACCAGGTGGAGTCCAAGGCCCTTATGTCTGTAGGGTAGGGAAAAGCAGAGCCCCAAAGGCAGCAAGGGTGTGTGGAGGGGGGTGTGGACTCTCAACCATTGTTTACTTAACAGCTCAGCCAACTTGCATGGGCTTTTTTTCTGCTCTAGTTGGCAGATGATACCAAGCTTGTAAGTGCTTTGGAGGACAGGGTCAAAATTCAAAATGATCTGGACAAACTAGAGAAATGGTCGGAGGTCAACAGCATGAAGTTTCATAAGGACAAATGCAAAGTGCTCCACTTAGGGAGGAACAATCCGTGTTACACATACAGCATGGGAAGTGACTGTCTAGGAAGGAGTCCTGCTGACAAGTTAAACATGATGTCAAGTCTCAGAGGGGTAGCTGTGTTAGTCCGAATCTGCAAAAGCGGCGTCCTGTGGCACTGGTGATGAAGTGGGTCTTTGCCCACGAAAGCTTATGCTCCTACACTTCAGTTAGTCTATAAGGTGCCACAGGACTCCTCGCCGCTTTTTAAGTTAAACATGAGTCAACAGTGGGACACTGTTGGAAAAAAAAGCAAACATGATTCTGGGATTTGTTAACAGGAGTGTTGTGAGCAAGACACGATAAGTAATTCTTCCGCTCTGCTCTGTACTGATTTGGCCTCAGTTGGAGGATTGTGTCCAATTCTGGGCACCACATTTCAAGAAAGAGGTGGAGAAAATTGTAGAAGTTCCAGAGAAGAGCAACAAGAATGATTAAAGGTCTAGAAAACATAACCTATGACGGAAGACTGAAAGAACTGGATTTGTTTTTAGTTTAGAAGAGGGGACATGACATAGCTTTCAGGTACCTAAAAGGGCATAAGGAGGAGGAGGAAGAAAAATTATTCTCCTTGGCTTCTGAGAATAGGAAAGAAGCAATGAGCTTAAATTGCAGCAAGGGAGGTGTTGTACCTTGATGGTTTTGTACCTTGGTACCTTTGGTGGTTTGGACTGTCAGTGTTAGCGTATTAATGGAGGAAGTGCAGGGTCAGGGATGGAGGGTGGGTGCAGAAGGGAGCACCCCAGTCCCTTACCCCAAGCTCCCTTCTGCACCCACCCTCTATCCCTGACCCTGCACCTCCTCACCCCAAGCTCCCTTCTGCACCCACCCTCTATCCCTGACCCTGCACTTCCTCCATTAATATCATGGAAGAGTGCTGCCCTTGACCACTTACCCATCAAAGATCATTGCCCGCCCCTGTCTTAGAAGATGGCTGGTGAAGTGCCCAGGGTCTTGGTTGCTAGCAATCCGGCCAGCCCTGACGTTGGAGAAGAGTCGGGTGATGGTGAAGTATCCAACTCCAGCTTCTGTCACTCTTAGACCATCTCTCTCCTGTCCACAGGCTCCGGTCATGGACGTCCTGCGGGTCGACCGCCTACTCCTCCCGGCACGAGCGAAGCTGCAGCCCTGCCGCCCTCACCAGCACCTACAGCCTGGAGACCATGCCCAAGTTCGCTTTCTCCTCCGAAGATGAGAGCCCCTGCCCGGGCTCTGTAAAGGCTGAGAGGCCGGTGTTTGTGCTGGGGGACCCTGAAGCAGGGACAGGAGGAGCAGCAAAGCCCTCGGCGTTGTCGGGTACGTGGGCTGCGGATGGCGGAACTGGGGATTAAGGACGCCCACAGGGTGCTAAATCGGGGGCAGAGAGCTTCTTGCCCAGCCTTCCGCTGCGGAGGCAGCCTGTGTATGCAGTGCAGGGCGTTGGCTGGTGGTGGCCCAGGCCACGGGCAGTCTCCATGGGATCCTAGTAATTCCCCGAGGTTCCAAGGCAGAAAAGACTGGATCCCTTGGAGGGGGACAGCGTGCTATACCCACACCACACATGCCGCCTTGAAGAGGCACTGAGAGGCATGGGAGGGAGCCTGATGGCGGGCAAGGGGGTTTCTGGGGAGATAGCCATGTGTGGGAATAACCCTCGGGGGACAAGACAACCACCTTTTGAGTATTTGCCTAGCAGCAGAGTCTAACCCTGCCGTTCCTGTGGAAGGAGGTGGCCTGTGAGGCGGGGGCAGTGATGGTTAGGGCAGTAGGTCATAGGCTTCGTCTAGATTATATCCTTCTGTCGGCAGCAGGATGTAAATGAAGCACTTTGAAAGTGCAAATGAAGCCGGGATTTAAATATCCCGCGCTTCATTTGCATAATCGCGTCATGGCGCTCTTTCGAAAGAGCGCCCTTTCAAAATTGAAACAGCAGTCTAGACACGGTTCTTTCAAAAACAGGGCGCATTTTCGAAAGAACCTCGTTTTTTGAGGTTTACGGGATCTTTCGAAAAAGTGCCCCGTTTTCGAAAGAACTGCGTCTAGAGTGCGGTTTCAGTTTCAAAGTAGCGCTTTTTCGAAAGAGCGCCATGACGTGATTATGCATATTTAAATCCCGGCTTTTTAAATCCAGGCTTCATTTGCACTTTCGAAGTGCTTCATTTACATCCCTCTCCTGACGGAGGGAGGTAGTCTAGACGTAGCCTTAGACTTGATACAGTTCCAGTGAATGACTGCGGGTCAGCCCCAGCTGGGTGGTAAGGAATTGTCACTGCGGTGGCATTATTATCCCGTAGAAGCACCAGCTTGCTGACCCCTTTCCTCCTTGTCCAGCTGAAATTGCCAGTCTGAACCGCATCCGCCTGCGGAGCAACAGCACCGGCACCAAAAACTCCACCCCAAGAGCCCTGGAGCCCGGGCTGGGCCGCAGGCTGGGGAGTCCGAAGAACACCCCGGAGAAGCAGAGAGTGTCTCCAGGAGGCCGAGTACCCAAGTCTGCTTCTGTCTCCGCTCTGTCCCTGATCATCACCACAGGTCAGTGGGCAGCCGCTAGTGAAGCTGACGCACAGGGTCAGTGGTGTGATGAGTGCATGCACGGGGCGGGTTTCCGACTGGAGCATCTCCACCGTGGGCACCTGCCTTGCGGCCCCTGCATAGCAGCTGTCACTTGTGCTACGTGTTCACCAGCTTAAGCGCTACCCAAGGAGGCCTCCCAGGCAGGCCCTGCTCTGTTACTCCCTCGTGGGTTCCTCTGCACCCCTTAGCAGCAGGACCCATGTCAGTGATAACGCTGCAGAAGAGCCAGCAAGTGGTACCAGCCCTGGGTGAGCTGACAGATCTGCCTACGCTGGGAGTGTAGCAAAGGGAAGCAAACGGTGCGGACCGTGGTAAGGAAATGTATAGGCTGTTTAGTGGGGCAAGCTGAGGTGCTCTTCCCACAGGCAATGAAGATTTTGCATACGATGGTCTGCCGGGCCAAGTCCTCTCGATAAGCGGTTTGGTGGGAGGAGACTGACTCTCCGGTGCTCCCAGCGCTGGCAGGGCGGGGGGTGCAAGCTGAAATGGGACGCTGTCTGTTGTTTGTAGATGACTGCGGCAGTGGAGGCCTCATGAGCCCCATCTCTCCGCGCTCCCTCTCTTCCAACCCATCCTCACGGGACTCGTCCCCAAGCCGGGATTCCCCCCTCAGCATCACCAGCCTGCGTCCGCCCATCATCATCCACAGCTCGGGGAAGAAATACGGCTTCACCCTCCGCGCCATCCGCGTGTACATGGGGGACAGCGACGTGTACACGGTGCATCACATGGTGTGGGTAAGCGACAGGCGGATTCCGCAGGGAACGGGAGCCACCGTGTACTGACGTTGCGGTGTGTCCTGCCTCCCTAGCAGCAGGGGTGTACCACGACTGCCCTTCTCTTGAGAGGCGAGGGAGGCAGAGCCAACGGGCCGGGAAGCCTACATGCCGTGTGCGTAATCCTGAGGATCTGCCTAAATAAGGGTTTCCTGGTTTTTCCATTTCCAGAGCGTGGAGGATGGGAGCCCTGCCCAGGAAGCGGGGCTGAGAGCTGGGGATCTCATCACACATGTGAATGGAGAGTCTGTGCTGGGCTTAGTTCACATGGATGTGGTGGAGCTGCTGCTGAAGGTAAGCCGCCTGCCCTGGATGTAAACGGGACACCATGTGCTTTGCTCTCTGTGTGTGGCTGGCTCCTCACACTCCTCCTGCGCTCACTGCTGAAGGCTCCGAGCAGCAAACGTCGTTTCATTATCTGAACGAGAGCGGGAGGGGGGGGG